TTGCACACTCTCTCTCTCTCTCTCTCTCTCTCTCTCTCTCTCTGTGTACCGGGACTACTTGCACGTACTGTGACTGGGTCACAAGCTTTGAGTTTGCGCACAAAGGGGATGGGGGAGGGGGGTATGGTACGACGGTTTGATTGACGCATTTTCTGTCCAATGATTCTAGGTGGTCTTGAAAATGATTGTCTGGGGTTTTTCAAGTCCTGCCCGTTCCACAAATGATTAAATTGCTTAATTTCCATTTCAGTGCTTCTAACTCAGTGGCTGTAAGTTGGTTAGGAATAGGATTTCAAGTGAATTTTGAAAAAATGGTCAAAAAAGAAAATCACTTACCCCACCTTTAATAAAACGTGCATCAGAAAAAGATAATTCTAATGTAACTCCATTCTTGAATATTTTAATTCTATGCAATTCACCTGAATTTGTTGTTTTTAATTTTAAAAACATTTTGAGATGAAAAAACATCTAAGATTCTATATATATTGGGAAAGGGGTTGATTATTATTTCCTGTTGGTGTTTTTGACTTTATTTGTTCAATAATATTTCTTCCTATGTGACAATGTGTGCTATGGGCACAGTGAAAATGCACCTCCTGCAGGTAGCTTGTGGTATTGCATGGCAATAATGAACGCTACAGTAGCCATCATCACTGAAGACTCTAAATAACATCACTTTCGTCTTTTGGGGGTGTAAATGATTCTCAATGATGTCTGAAGGCTTTTGCCTTAAGATGTATGGAGATAAACTCCTAGAAACGTTGAACCAGACTGCCTGTCCATCTGTTTCACCTCAAAGGGATTATGCTTGTGCAAGTGTGTCGACATTTGCAGAGCTCCTTAACAGGCTGTTTTTCAGAATGCTTTGGCATTGACAATTGCCCTCTATTTCACATCTCTGAAAATGTGTGATTCTGTCCGTCTCTCTTGCTGAGAGTGATTGCTGTGGGGATCTCCAGTAACACTCCAATGCCTATAGGATATAAGGCAGATGCTGTGTTATACTGGTGTGTAAATATCATTATTCTTATGTAATGACTTCTACAACATAATGAAATCCTTTTCCTGCTGGCTTTTGTTTTTTGTTTCTCTTAACATTTTCCAACTTTGCTTTGTCATAAACAGGACAAATTGTATAAAAGAATACATCAAGAATTCAGAAATCAGAATTTAAAAACATGCACTTCACAGATGATGTGTATTCAAGTGTATGCATGAAGTGCATTGCAAATAGAGCTGGATAAAACATAGGGGCAGGGAATGCAGAGCTGAAGAACACTTTTCCAAGTCTGTGAACATAGATAGAGCTTTCTTCCGACTTCTTCAGGTCCAGGTTCTTTATGAGCAATAATACAACAATCATATTACTTTGACTTGGTTGATCAAACATAAAACTGTTTGAACAAATTCGTCCTGGATTGGCTTCAATAAAACCGCACTTTGACTCAATGATGACATTACTGATCTGTTTTTGACCAAGTAGCTCAGTCTACCCTTCAAACACCGATTCCTGTTCAAGGTGAGAAGAAAAGACTAGATCTGACAGCTACTGCACCAAGGGAGCAGCCAAAACTACAAGCCCTGACACCTGAGATTGATTGATTATGTCTGTCTTGGCTCAAACATGAGGCTGTAGTCACACAAACTGTGCACTTTGGTTGTCCCTGCTCTCTTCTCAGTATCCCTCTGCTTCTACCTCACACACTTACAGACACACGCCTAGTTTATTACATTAATGCCGGGCTTTTCACCTCCTGTCAGCGGCGGAATGACAGCAGCGAAGAGTGTGACAAGGTCAGAGCAGGGCTCACAGTCTAACCAGATTACACGGAAATTAGGCAAGCGTGCGCGTTTAAACGGATGCCTGGGAAATGTGCTTTCAGTTCAGTGGAGTGTGTGTTAAACCACAGGGTGATGAGAGTCTGCTCGTATTTTGAGCTTCAATACTGGACATGTTTTAAATGTTTATATTGTATTGCATAGTAAGATTGGTACCTAAGAACCAGTTCTTATTCAGAACCCATTCGATTTTCAAAAAGAATACCAGAACCATAACGGTTCTCGCACGTTGCGTTGTTCCATCACTGCAGACAAAACAGTATGTACTTTCAGCTTCATTGCATAAATAGTGCGGGGAGCTCTGTCAGAGTAAAACAGAAATGACAAACAGTGTAGTCTTACAAAACGAAATACTCTGAGGCGGTCCTTTTTGGTGAACAAAAAGCATGCAATCATTGTAGTTTGATTCAAGAATAAATTACTCTTATGAGGCCATATTTTTTAGTGAATCAAAAACACACCCAAATATCTTAATGTGTTTGGTTTCTATTAATATCGAAGGCCATTTGGTTGATACATTTTGTATCAAGATCCCTGCTCCATGTCTCTTGCCTAAGCGGTACTCGCCCTAAAAAATGTCAGACCTTTGCTTTAAAAAGATTTATTGTATAAAATATCGGAGACGGTTGTTTCTCCCACCATCTCCTCCTCAGATTAGTTGTCACCTAGGTTGCCAAATTGAGCATAGGCAACTGGAACAAGCTCAATTGACAATGGAAAGCGATGAGGCCATCAGATGATTTATATGCTTTGTAATATGCCTCTGGACATAGATGTTTAGATGGATACTGAGGCTTTTTAGGTCATGTAGAATCTGCAATCTCTGACCTAGTTTGTTTGCTGGCTTCTGTGGCTAAAATGCGCTGTTTTCTGCCAAATGGCAACCCGAGGTGTCGAAATATTGTTCGGTAAATTGGCAGCGGGGGCGGGATCCCACAGACCAAAACTAAAACAGACATTCCGGTACTGAACACACGTTTCAAAGTAGAATCACTGGCTGTAGCATTGTTTTTCGTATAAACAAGTATGTGAACTTAACATTTTCGTGTTAGTGATTTTTGTGCAATAGTACAGTCAAATAAATTACATACAGCGGAATTGTTTTGTTGTTAATGATTCCCCTCCCTACTGAATAGACCACTGTTTTTGATGGATTGTTCCTACTGGGTAATGGGCTCTATGCACGGCGTTATTTCCGGTGAAGTATTAAGGATGCTCGATAACTTCCGTCGATCGTAGAGTCCAATGCAATACCGAGAATTTATATTGAATTTTATACTCCATGGTTATACTAATGAAACGTTAGTCACAATAACAGATAAAACAGACACGCCTCGTTGTGTTTATGCTTCTTTTTAAAATTATATTAAATAAACATAAATATATATAAAATTACATCTAAACGTATGTACGTTTCGTTTCAAAGACGGGAGGACAGTAAATATTGAAGACTCTGCCATAATCCCGTTTTCTCCGGTTTTCCTCCGCTTTAATCTACACAACCGGAAATGGACGAGCATCCTTACGTCAAATGCGGAACTTATGCGTGCATATAGCCCATTGTAAAATGCAGTGTTTGTGTTGGCTTTCCGGTGTCACTGATGTCCTCCTAGGGCTGGACAGAGAGGGGTCAGCGCCTCCCTGTGTCCCCTACATTCTGTCTGCTTGCTGACAGTGAGGGCACGGCCTATTTTGACCCCTGGCTCTTACTCCCCTGAGGTGGCTAACTTCATTTCTGCACAATTGAGTTAAAGCCCAGATTATCCCTGCATATTCAGCAGCCCTCCCTGTTTCATCTTCCACCTACACTAAGCAAAAGTGAACACACACGCTATTTCATATACATATTCATGCTTACCAACCTTGAAACAATGCCGTATACTCTGTTTTTTTTTATGTAGTAAATATTTGGGACAGAGCTTACATCTATACTGCGTATTTGACATGTCAGCTGCCATATTTTCAAATTCTTCATGTGTTTTTAATAAATCAGCTTTACCAGAGTTGTGCAATGCACCATAAATCACTTTTTGTCTTGATGCAGGCAATTTTACTGGATCTCTCCCATCTTTCGCCCTCCGTTGCTATTGTGTGTGTGTGTGTGTGCGCAGAGAGCGCAATGCCTCGTCTTGCCTTGACTCTTATGAAAGCTTTATTGGATTCCACCATCCCCGAAGGGAAAACGCTTTAAATGTCTTTGCAATTATACCTCTAATAACAGCGTTGTGCACTTGGGCCAAGCCAACGATAAGGAACTGCAAGTTAGTCAGTCAATAGAGGGGCTATTAATCTCTGTCACCTGCCTGTCAAGATGAGTCGGCAACAACAGAGGTGTCTCTTGACCTATGTATGCGTCCCGGCACCGTTGAGGAACTCAGTCAGAGCATCAGTCTTTATCAGAGAGGGTGGCGTATATATGTCTACGGACCGAAGGAAAGAATTTTACATGCTCTCGTGGGACTTGCTTTAGGCTGAAGCCTTCAGACAGTGAGATGAGGAGAGATGGTCATGAATGCAGATGATTATTAGTTGCCACCGTTTGCAATTTTCTTTGGCCTCATACGCTCACCGGCGTGACATCTTTTCTCAACATCGCTCTCATATTGTTAAAACGTGCCCTGAAACAGTTCTATATAATATGCAAATTAGGATGGATATCCATTTTCTACAACAAGTCCGTAGCTTTTTTGGGGTTAAAAAATATCCAAAATATAAATTTAAGAAAGTACATAACCATCCAGTGTTCAAACTATCTGCTTGCCACGCTCGATTCAAAGCGGTAAGCTTGTAATGATGTTTTTAATCCCAGTGGGACTGGTGGATTTCAATGAGAGATTCAAGCATGTCTTTGTGTCAATGGAATACGATTTCGATACATCTAAATATGTTTAGTGAAAGGTAAACCTTCCTAAATCTCAGTGTAAACAATGCATGACGGATCACTTCCGGCGTAACGTTGGACATGGTTCAGTTCGGTTCAGTTGGACATCTGATTCAGATCAGTTCGACATAGCTGTTAACAAGAGGTAAAAACTATATAAATACTGTTTGTTTTCTCACACAAACCGTCTTGTTTCGTGTCTTAGGCCATCAATGTGTACTTACATTCACGAGTCATTAAATCATGTTTAATTTTGACTTCTCTGTGCATGCTCTTTGAGGTGAACCCCCTAAACCTGCATTATATGACTGATGGACAACAACGGTTTGACCGAAAAATGTCAAAATTGAAAATACTGTGGAAACAAAGACACGTACATCTTGGATGCCCTTGAGGTAAGCTAAAACATATCAAAAATTAATTTCAAAGTGAACTTTCCCTTTAAATCATGTTTAATTTGGACTTCCCTGTGCATGCTCTTAAAGGAAGACCCGATTGACCTCCATTATATGTCTGACAGACAAGAAAGGTTCGACTTAAAAATATCAAAACCTACAGTTTGGATGCCCTTGAGGTAAGCTAATACATATCAAAAATTCATTTCAAAGTGAACTATCCCTTTAATAGGGAGTGGCCAGGGTTTCCATAGACTGGCTTTGGTTGTTGATTAAGAGTACATTTGTGAGTCAACTCAAACTTTAGCATCCATCTTTTCACATGCAATAGAAAGTCACTCTGTGAGCATCTCACAACCGTTTATAGATAACCATGAAAGAATATCCTAATTGAAGATAGTTAACTTGACTCAGTGGAAGCCCTCCTATGACGTCTGTGTTTGTAGAAAACAGTTTTGAACCCTTCACACGTCCATCATATTTGGACTGACAGTCTGAACAAAGCTTGAGTGACACCAAAGAACTAATTCTCACAGTCTTATAATTGAACGCAGTGTAGCAAGTTTAAATATCTATGCTATTTCTTTGTTTCTTTCTTTCTCTTCCTCCCTTGTTCCATCTTCTTCTGTTCGTTCCTCTGATGGGATCCTACTTTCTTGTTGCCATTTCTCATTCCTGGATCAAGCAATCATCATGACCAACCTCTGTTCTTTCCCCTCTCCCATCTTTCTGTGACCTTCCTCGTCTTCTCTCACTGTTTGATGAAGGAAAAGAGATTTGAAATTGCCCCCTCCTGCCACTGTTCTCATAAATGTCCGGGTCACACAGGCTCCGAAAGACACTTCCTGAGCCGGATAGAAGAAAGAACTAAAGGAAAACAAGATGGAAGCAATTGAAAAGGGAGAGGGGGGAAAGGCATGATGTAGATGATTGCTGCTGCAGTTTACATAATGAAATATGGGACCTGGAAGGTCTCTATATATGAAAATCCTTTTGAGATATTTGTTGTGATCTTTACGATTTTATAAAGGTCACCTGAGCACGCTGAAAGGGAGTTTGCTGTGTTAGTGCTGATCATAATGCCATGGCACATGGTGACCTCTGAAAACAAATAGACTGTTGAAATGTAAGATACAGGATGAAAGTGAGAGAGATACACAGAGAAGTGAAAAATTCAGCAGGTACACCAAAGAGGAAGCACTGCAAGGTATAACACAGCGTTCCATCCAAGATATTCCACCTTTCTCCATTCATTTTTAATGTGCCATATATCTCTGCTACACTGGAACATGACATCTACCCTGAAGTGTGGGAGACTTTCATCAGGGATTCTGTGTGTGTGTCTGTCTTGGTAATAGAAATGGATATAGAGGTCTGTGAGTGGGAATACCTTCTGAATGCGTATTTATGTCAGTGATGCTAAAGATTTGCGTGTGCGTATCGAATGAAAGATTAAGACCCAAATCATAATGCTTTAAGACACTTGGATGTAAGATGCACACACTCCTTCTCGCACTCACATTTACACACCCCTTCCATCATCTGTGCTGTAAAAGTTAAATGCCTTGGGCCGTCCCCGCTCGACTCTAAACGCTGTTGAACGCCATTGTTTGACTGCCGCTGTAAAAACAGAGTGCCCCGTAAATCTGCGATCCTCATGCGTTTGCTCCCCTTCCACTTCATAAATATCCTTAGCATATTAATTTATTCCTCTATATTCCATATCAATGTGAGCTTTCTTTCTTTTTTCTTTCTATTCTCCTTTTTCTGTGATTATTATTTTTTTTAAACCTATACCTGTATTCCTATACTTAATCTCATTTATTTATTTTTTTGTTTAGTTTATTTTGCTGCAAGTGCTTTATCACATTTGGGAATGCAAGCTTGAAGAAATGTGAATTTATGTAAATATATGGCTAAAAAATAAATATTCGCCTTCTCTCAAAGTATAAAGAACAGCAGTGACTCGTTATAATATTTTCCCTTTGTTATGAATCAGCAGAATAATTAAGAATGATTTGTGGACTGAGCAAAACTTGTTTTTCTAGGAGTTAAATAAGTTGCAACACTTATTGATATTCAGCGGTCTGGCTGATTAGACTCCTGTGTAATTTTGTGGTTTTTAATCATACCACAGGTAGTTGCCAGCACTTATTTGCACGATTGCCACTTTTGAAAATTAGTCCACTTCTGTTTTTCTGCATATGAGTGTGTATCGAGAAAATATGCATTTAAATATGTTTTAGGATCATTGTTGAACTTTACACACACACATGCATACACATTGTTTTGGAAAACATTAAAAACTAAAAAAAAGAAATATTAATATGAAAATACTTGACAGTGAAATGAGCGCCATTGCCACCCTGAAGGACCTTCTGTCACGTTACATTGCTGACAGTGATGATGCAGACTGCAGTACACTACCCAGCAGGGGTCAGAGGTCATGCGAGCGGGGTGACTGCAGATTGTATGCCCTGACACAGTGACTGACAGATGGATATGTCTCTGCAGCACAGGTCAGGATGCACAAGGTGGCATTACAGCGGGTCAACTGATGCAGCACTTGGCTGACACAGCATGTATGATTTTACTTACTCTGTCCAACCCTCTGCTGAAGAACATAAGCTGTGTTCCCTTCACAGGGTTCTGAGCAGGGGATATCTGTCGAAGTTTACAACAAAATCAATTCAACTGGAATGCTATGCGACGTCATTAAACAGACAACTGACTCTGTTGAGGTATGTGGTATACTTGTGATCATACATTTCATATAAATGACCATATGTACACTCAACTAAAGGATTATTAGGAACACCATACTAATACTGTGTTTGACCCCCTTTCGCCTTCAAAACTGCCTTAGTTTTACGTGGCATTGATTCACAAGGAGCAGAAAGCATTCTTTAGAAATGTTGGCTCATATTGATAGCATAGCATCTTCCATTTGATTGAGATTTATGGGATGCACATCCAGGGCACGAAGCTCCCATTCCACCACATCCCAAAGATGCTCTATTGGGTTGAGATCTGGTGACTGTGGGGGCCATTTTAGTACAGTGAACTCATTGTCACGTTCAAGAAACTAATTTGAAATGATTCGAGCTTTGTGACATGGTGCATTATCCTGCTGGAAGTAGCCATCAGAGGATGGGTACATGGTGGCCATAAAGGGATGGACATGGTCACAAACAATGCTCAAGTAGGCCGTGGCATTTAAACAATGCCCAATTGGCACTAAGGGGCCTAAAGTGTGCAAAGAAAACATCCCCCACACCATTACACCACCACCACCAGCCTGCACCTTTTTCCTATTTGTAGTGGAGATGAGTGGTACCCAGTGGGGTCTTCTGCTGTTGTAGCCCATCCGCCTCAAGGTTGTGCGTGTTGTTGCTTCACAAATGCTTTGCTGCATACCTCGGTTGTAACGAGTGGTTATTTCAGTCAAGGTTGCTCTTCTATCAGCTTGAATCAGTCGGCCCATTCTCCTCTGACCTCTAGCATCAACAAGGCATTTTCACCCACAAGACTGCCGCATAATGGATGTTTTTCCCTTTTCACACCATTCTTTGTAAACCCTAGAAATGGTTGTGCGTGAAAATTCCAGTAACTGAGCAGATTGTGAAATATTTAGCCCGGCCCATCTGTCACCAACAACCATACCACGCTCAAAATTGCTTAAATCACCTTTCTTTCCCATTCTGACATTCAGTTCGGAGTTCAGGAGATTGTCTTGACCAGGACCACACCCCTAAATGGATTGAAGCAACTGCCATGTGATTGGTTGATTAGATAATTGCATTAATGAGAAATTGAACAGGTGTTCCCCAGTAATCCTTTAGGTGAGTGTATGCAAAAAATTATATAATCAGTTGTACTCCGTTTTTAAGCCTAACCCTCACCCTAACTGATTAAGACAATTTAAGACGTAAGAAAAAAACTGAGGCCATTTGTCACCAACATACATCTCTCATAGACTCTCGTTCCCTGAGGAGCGTTCAATCCACTTATGCATTTAATTCTATACTTTGAGTCAGCTGGGACACAAGCGGACAGAGGAATGCCCGACAAATCAATCTTTTCATTATTCATCAGTTTGACGGTGCTTTTAACTCTATCTACATATTCACAGGGAATTGTGGGAGATGATGTCCTCTGGGGCTCGGATGTTGTCCCGCATCTGCTTTGCTCTGCTTTGCTCTTGAGAAGTCATTGAGCGAGTCGGAGAGGAGTCCAGGCAGATGAAATCTTCTTTGCGTTGTCTTAAACTGCTCAGCTCCACAGCATTAAGCATCCTTTCTGTCTAATGAGCGTCTGCACAGCGAGGAGAAGCGTGTCGACTCTCCGCTCGCCTGTCATTAACGTGCAGTCAGACGGGACACAGGACGGGCTGAAATGGAGAAATAATAGGCAATTTAGCAATGCGTGGAGAGACGAGGGGGATGAGAGGGAGGGCAGGGTCATCCCTTGCTCTGTTTTTTGGGGATCCTTTCCTGTCATCCCTGCAGAGCCGTGGACGGGTAATGAGGAGTCGCCTGCTGCATAAATAGCCTTAAAATAGAAAGAAGGAATAAATAACTTTAATAGAACAGAATCGGAGATGGAAGGAAATGGATGAAGTAGGCGGCTGTCCAGCTCACCGCAAGCCCTGTCCCTTTTTCCGGCCTTTTTCCTTTTCTCCTTACTCATCCATAGAACCACTGGACAAGGCACTGACTGAACAGTCAAAAATGAGTGAAAAAAGTGTCGCTGTCATTGGTTGGGTTACACCAACTGAGGTGTTTCTTGACTTGCCATGTAAAGTTCACAATAGGGGCTCAGTAACTAGTTAGTCTCTTAATTTGGTTTTACTTTTTGTTCTTAAATTTGACATGAAATGGAAGTTGCAGTTGTCTTTTCTTCTCTATTGTGATACAAGCAAAACGGCTTATCATACAGGAAAACATGTAGGGCAGGACTTGATTTTGTCCAATGAGAATTGATTGGATCGTTGACAGGTTGTCCCGCCCTCATGTCAGTAATCATATCATCAGAGAAGCGAAGTCACAGCAAAAGCACATTAATTTCTTGTTTATTCCAGAACATTTGATATTTTGTCTTGATTATCTTTGAACTGATGATAAATTTACCTGACATAATAAATTGTTACATGATCAAGCGCGAGTTTACAACTCGAGAGGGTTTTCATGATGCGTCATCAATCTGGAAGTCGGCCATTTTGGAGGCACTGAACATAAACAATGCCGAACGGAAAACTGAACGGACTCGCAAATTTGGCTGATTATTTCTGCTGAAAAATTGTTTGAGTTTTGGTCTGTACTAATCGTTGCATCAGGAAAAAAACATTTTGAGTTCTTTAGACTGCCAAAGGTTAAAAAGAAGAGTGCAAAAAAACTGATGAAGGAAGGCGATGTTGTCTTATTTAAATTTTACAAAATGGAAATATGTAGCTGCCGTGCTGGACTATACAATACTGGGTATTGAGCTGCAGAACTGTAGGAGGCTGTTATGTACAGCTTTTTTCCATGCTCTTGTCTGCGCCGGTTTCAAAATATGTTTTAGAAATAATAATTTTCTGCTCGTCCGGCACTTTGCAACAACACAGCATTGTTTCGGCAATGACCTGTAGCATGTTTCCTCTAACAACCTCTGACATTTACATTTTGCATGGTGTGAGAGTCACATACCACCCGAAATTTGATCGTTCAGACTAAGGCTGCTGTCCTGATGATGGTGCAGTGGATAAGACACATACCTTTGGTGTGAGAGTCCCGGGTTCAAATCCAATGCGACTGCGAGACACCAATGTGTCCCTGAGCAAGATAGTATATATAGTATATATTTTTCCCAACTATGGAAGTCAATGAGACCAGAAACTGTCTGGTTACTGATATTCTTCTAAATATCAGAAAATCGGTTGAATGGATTCGAAAATGGTAAAACCCAACTGTTTAATTCTCAGGGAGTTGTAAAATGAGTATCCCTTCAACCCCTAGTTGCTCTAGAGGCATGCGACCTCTGACCTATTTAGCAATTGTAAGTCACTTTGGATAAAAGCTTTAGCTAAATGAATAAATGTAAAATGTAAATGATATTTGAATTGGATTTCAAACCACATGAATGTAGCTTGAAACTAATTTCATGTGCTTTTTTGGACTAACAATCTGAACATAGCCTATGTCGGGATAAGAAATAGAAGGAAGAATTGTAGCACAGGCTAGAGAAGCTAGTCACAATAAGACGGTGGCAATTTGAAACAGTCTAAACTTCAAATAATTTTCAGAGATAGCAGTTTTGTTTTAGCTCTCCTCACCTGTAGCTTAGTCTAAACCGTTACTTCATGAGAGCGTAAGACAATTAGTTCCTTGTGTTTGTGTGTGCGATAATAAATCAACAGGCTAAGGTGCACAGCTGTGAGAGAAGGATAACTGGGTTTTATTTCCAACTTGGTGACTCTTATGTGTGGCAGTGGCAGAGAGAGGAAGAGGAAATCGGTGTAATTATTCTCTGCATGCAAGGGAGCCAGCTGGGGACTCCTTCAACAACATAGGCTAATTTATATCTGCATGGCACTTTCCCGGTTTCTGACAGAGCCCCTCTCTGCTCTCCAGGCTCTCCTGTCCGTACTTCTGGGAGTCCTGGTGCAGCTAGGTTATAAAATCCCTCCAATCTCTCGCTATTCTGCGGCACTGCACTGTGAAGGAGCGAGTCATTATGGGAACGGGCGGATGGCACAGATTGAGTGAGTCACTCTTGGTTCAAATGAACTGTTGCCTCATGAGACTGAACTTTTTAATCTTTTTTTTTAATACTTCAGTAATCATTCCCTCATTCAGCTGTTCATTTCATGAAGACAAAAATAAAGGTTAAAAATAAAAAGGTCTCAAAAGTTATTATTTGTAGCGATGCCATAGAAAAACTATTTAAGTGAGCAGCAATGAAAAGAGCCTTTTTTTCTTAGTGTAAAAAAGAATTTAATGATCTAAACAACATTTTTTTTTTTTAAATGTAAAATTTAACAAAAAAAATAATTTACAAAAAAATTTTAAAAATTGATTTTGTCCCTCAGAAAATGACTGGGTCATAATATCATTCTGGTTTGCTATTGGTCGATCTCCTGTGAGTGACGCATCATCAGAGAACAGATGCCATTGCAAGAGGGAGGGGAAGTTATTTTAATTAAAGGTTACAACGGCGCATTATTTATTTATTTTAAATAATGATGTTCACAGATAGACCATTTATAATAAATGCTGCAATATTCCACAATAATAATAATAAAAAAGAATGGCCAATTTTGATTTCATGGTAACAAATAAATAAAAATATACAATCTATCTGACCTTACTGCAAATTTACTGCAAAAATATTGCTCTTTTAATTCAGCCATTGATCCAATCTATTGCACAAAAGTTTCTTTATAGTGAAAAAATTAAATCGGACGCCGAGGTTGCACTATTTCTTCTGGACAGGTGAATAGCTTCTTGTGCTGACTTTTTTGTATGTGAACTGTGTGTGAAAATATAAATCTTTAAAAAATATGAGTGAAGCTCGACTAAACTTGGATAGCTCTAGCGAATATCAGATTGTACGGATTTAGTGTGTGAGTTGCATTTTTGTGTGTGTGAGTCTACTTTGATGTGTAGCCATAACAATGTACTATTAGCACACTATTAGGACTAACTTTAGCTGAATAATAATAATAAGCTGTTATAATATTATTCCAGATAGCTGTTGTACCCATGAGTTTTCCCCATAACGTTAGATCTGTATTTGGTATGTTTTATCATACTGCTGCTTTCAGTGAAGCACCAGAAAAACTGTATGATATGACATGGCTCGACTGCAGATTTTATATACATCATTATACTTTGTAATCCAAAGCAGTCAAGTTCACATTTTACAGTTCACAGAATGAGCCATCATTGAGGTAGACCGTCAATCTGAATATAGTGTTTTTGTCTCTTTAAGAAATGCGTGCGTATGATCGTTTTTTTCATGATGAACGAAACGGGAGGGAGGGGCGAGCTAACTTGGTTTGTTTGGGATCTTGCTTCAAACACAAACAGAAGTGACGTCACCCACAATCGCTGATACAAACTTTAATGCCTTTTGACAAATAATTATATTGTAACTAGCTGCTAGTTGTAAACTGTTATTATATTCTACGTTCAAAATGGCAATGGAGTACGGTTTTGAACATGCTGAGAATATTGTTTGTGGATTCTGAGCATTGTTTCATATTTTTCCTTCCATGTGTACAGCAGCTGTTGATTTGATCTTCTCTTTCAGCAGCTAATTAGTGTCTTTTGGTTCCTGTGAGAAAAGGTCACTTTCGTGCTCTGCACAGATGCATTAACAAGCCAAGTATTAATACACTCACCTCCATGTACAGGTCAGACTAGAGCAGACAGCTCCTTCAGTTTAAAACAGCCTTTTCCCTCCGGCCTCTCCCCCAATTTAACTCTCAATTAAACCGTCTTTACGCTTTTGATGTTACAAAATGGTTGACGCGTGAGTGTGTGTGTGTGTGTGTGTTTTTTCTGCAAGTATGTATAACAGATAGCTGATTTGTACATTTGTGTCTTTCAGACCCTGTTTACACCTGCATCTGTAACCGATTTTTTTGTTAACAGGGAGGCAGGGTTCAGTTTGAGCAAAAGCTTGGAGTGAGATCACACGCGGTTAGGGGAGGAGTCATAATGAAGCCCCGCCCCACCCATCCCCGCCCCCAATTTTACCCATTGTTCATAATTAACCAGAACAAATTAAAATTATAACAATTAGTAAATCTGATAAATGACAGACACAAATAGTCTTTAATGCAGTATTACTAATATAGCTAACCAAAAATATAACAAATTGCTCCAAACAGTTTCAAACAAATCTTTAAAAATTGCATTTTGATTTTTGAATCAACTCCATCAATAATAATGTACGATGGGCTACATATTAAATGTTCTAGCCCAAAAATGTTAGACGAGCTTCTTCCAACTTACCTTCTTCTCCATCACGACACATGTGTTCGCGCGATGTTGTTGGTTACCTAGTAACGAACGTACGGTGGCCGAGTTCCGTCCATTTCCGTGTGTTCGCGCTACTGAATGACATGTCATGTATAGATCAGTGGTGCACGCAGTGCGCATATATGTTGCCTAGTAACGAACGCAATCTGGCGGAGATACGCGCTGGCGGCAGGAAACTTCACTTTGTTTGCCTGCGCCTCGTTAGAAAGCTTTCAGCCAGGACAACTTGGTTGGCATTGCCCTTTCAGCGTGAGAAATAGACAGTGTGGCGTGTGAGCGTTTGAACCGGTTGAAATGCGTGTGTCTCACGGCCAATGAGTGAGACTTGAGAACCCTGAGGGAGGTCTCTGATTTCACAACTAAATATATCACTCATTTAGTCACTGGGATACTGCATTCTGTCAAAACACACACACGCACACACCAATGTGTGTCTTTTAATTCAGAAAGTCTTTTAATTCAGTCTCCTTCAGATCTCATCAGAAATCACTTTTTTGCCTATACTCTCGACAGCTCAATTTCAATCCTGAGCAACAGATGAACTGCTTAACAAGGCCTGTGACTGTCCAGAACACACATTCACAGTTCACATAACATTCACGTTATCTCCTCTGTTCGTTCAGTTCATGCAAGCGCTCACACAATTATGCAAAGGCAAGGGCTGCTATGGTGGTTGTTTTTCTACTGCTCTCGCTCATGCTGTTTTCGTCTTCCCAGCAGTATTGATTTGTCTTTGGTTTGTCTGTAGCAAGTACCTATTCTTGTCTCAGAGACACTTAGGTGAACATCCCTTTAATTGCTTGCCATCTATTCTGAAATAAACACTGCCCCGGGGTCCTGTCGCCTTTGCATGGTGAGATTTAGTATGAAGAAAGGATGCAAGCTAGATGTTTTTGAGGAATTAGCAGGGGAAGTATTTCCACTGTTAAACTGAATGTAATTTTCCATAAAACATACATGGAATGTTTAGATATGCATTGGTTACTTAATCACTATAGTCCTCCAACTCTATATGTGCATGAGTTCATTTTCTGCGACTGTAGTGGTGGTGGTGACCTCACACAAGGTTTAACTTAGGTTCTTTATAGAATGCCAGAAAGGTTCTTTATAAAGAGAAATGTCTTCAATGTTTGCATACTTTAATGTTTAATGAGTTATTTCAAATGTTTCTTTTGATAAAGTGTGTGTAGGAGCTGTTTCATTCATAAAATGTACCCAAAATAATAAATCAAAATCCAGCAAATTAAAACATCTCTACAATGACGTTTTGAACCCTTGATAGGTTCTGTATATGTGACGTGCCTGACAGAACGCTTTAAGGTTCTACATAGAAGCCTTTCTTCTAAGAGTGTATCAGCGAATAATTTATTTAACCGATTTGTTTAAAACATTCATTAATGAACAAACTAAGAAACTTGCTGTTAAAGCAAGTCTTTAAATCATTGACTAAACTGATTTGTTCAAAATGCTCGGAGATGCGCAGCGGTTAATTCTGCTTTGGCTTTGAGTGGACCTATTTTTGATGGTCAAACTGTGTTATATTAATCACAAATGAAATGGATATATATATATTTAAAAGGAAATATTTTTTTAATTGCACATGTTGTCACTCTCCAAAAATTGAATAGGCCTATACCCGGTGTAATGTGTTTTCTTCATGTGGAAAATGATTA